GCTGCTGATCACCCAAGTGGTGGAGGGCTCAGGCTCCAACAAGATCGTCGTCTTCACCAACAAAGGAACCACTTCGATGGATCTGAGGGACTACACTCTTTGGACCGCTTTCAATGGCGACGAATGGGGGAAAACCGTGGAACCGCTGGCCCGGAAGTCTCTGGTGCCGGGGGAGTCATTCACGCTTTGCAACCCGGGCGTGTCCAGGGCCGCTGTCGGCCACTGTGACGCAACGGACGGTGATCTGAAGTTCAACGGGAATGATGCGCTGGGGCTCAGCAAGGGAGGCGAGTTTGTGGATTTGTTCGGAGACGAAGGTGGAATGGGGTGGAATGCGCGGGGGGATGCCTTTCGGATCGGCGGGGTCGACGAGGGGTCTCTGGATCACACCGCCGTGAGGAAGGAAGTCGTGACGAGGGGCAACACGAACTGGGCCGTTTCTTCCCGGTTGGAGTGGGATGTGCTCCCCAAGGATACGTTTCTTGTGGACGGGAATACCATAGTGCTGCGACGAACGACCGAGGGTGTGTGCAAAGAGAAAAGCGGCACAGAGATCGACTTTTGCGCAAATCCGAAGCGCCCAGGGGAGGATCGTCGGCCCGACAAGAGGGAGCTTGTCATCGGCACGTTCAACGCGGAGTGGCTATTCGACGGGGAGTCAGATACAACGCGCTCGCGCTGGCATTGCGACCACGAGGGGGCCGCTCTCCACCTCCAAGCCGTCGCCGGCATCATCCGCAGAAACGGTCCGGACATCTTGGGCCTGCAGGAAGTGGAGGACTGCACCAGGCTTGCCGAGCTGGCTGGGCTCCTGCCGAGTTACGAGGGGTATCTCGTCCAGGGCACCGACAGCTCAACTCAGCAGGACACTGCTTTACTCACGCGAGTCGATCCGTCCGACCCTCTTTATAGAAGCAATGAGAGGGAAGGCACTCCAGCCGGTTCCAAGTGCGGGGCGCGCGATGAAAGCACGGGGGTCTCCAAGCACTTCGTCGCTCGGTTCCCCTCCCTGGATGGCGTCCCTTTCAAGTTCGCCATTATTGGCGTCCATCTGAAGGCCTTTCCGACAGACGAAGAATCCTGTGCCCAGCGGGAGGGCCAAGCCAAGGTCATCCAGAATGAGGCTCGGCGCCTCATAGACGAAGGATACGAGGTGGCAATAATGGGAGACATTAACGACCTGTCCGATCTTCACCGCGTGAGGACCTGCTCGAGGGAGACCAAGCCAACATCAAGGGTGCTGTCCATGTTCCGGGATCTGAACAACGACGGCGTCGATGACCTTCGAAACGCCATTGAATTCGTTCCGGTTAACGAGAGGTACTCTAGCAGGTTCTTCAACAAACAGGGGGAGGAGAGGCTCTCTCTGATCGACCATGTTCTTTTGACGCCAAAGCTGTGGCGCTTGGTCGACAGGGTGTGGATTGACCACACCGGGGTAGACATGCCTCACGAGGCTAGGGTATCTGACCACTGGCCCATCCTGATAGCGCTGAGGACCGACGGATCGCCTGGATCAGGTGTTGCACTCAGTACCCCACCCTGTGCGTGAGAACAGGACTGCTGCTGAAAACACATTTCAAGGCGGCTGCTGATGTCCTAAATGTGGAAAGAAAATTGACTGCTGGACAGTTTCGGGCGGATGGCTTTCGCTGCATGATAACTGAATGGGTTGAATTCGGACTGGGGGCGTGGGCCTGTTTCTGGGGATGATGATAGCAAACTTTGATGTGCAATGTGTAGGTGGCATCAAGGCTCTGGTGCATGTGTGTGCATATCCAGGGGACTTCTTTACCAACGCTCATTCGATGCCTAACCTTTCCAGAAAGGCATTTGATGTTTCGGCTGCTCAATGGCATGTATATAACAAGCGCAGCGTCGATTTGCACCACATAATCTTACACATGTATGTCTCTCTGGAAAACCTATTCGAATGAGCTTGTTCTTCACGCGGAAGCTATCCCAGGATAGCCCCGCCCTGCAATTCCATTTCGGTGACCTACCGTATTCGATGAAGTATTCTTCGCATGACGTAATTACATGACAGGCGCTACTCCTTCTGGAGTTTCTGGACTACATGCTCAAAACCTCAAGTGCGAGTGATGTGGCTATTCGGGAGCTCTACCGTATTGCATTTCCTGTACACATACAGGCCTTGTGCACGTCATACAAATCCAAAGCAAGGATTCCTAGCAGACTCAGGGTAAGAAGGCATTGTTCGAGTTCCCACAAAATGACATTAGTTGGCCACTTTTGTGTTTTGGTCACCGGATGGGGGCGCTGGCCGTTTGCCCCAAGGCGGCACAGGATAGCAATATGATGACGTTGGTTCTTGTTGCATTACTAAGGATGGCGCCCAGGGCCATCACAGTCATTGCCGACATCCGGAGGTGATAGCACGGCTCTCAGTGGAGCCTTACGTTAAGCTGGCCTTTTGGCGGCTGTTTGATGGGCTAGTAATAGCATTGAGCCGCGGGGGGCAAGCCACAGCAGCGAGCCGCGGGGGCGAACTATGGGGCGCAGTGTGATGAAGTGTGATTGATGCCATTTTGGTGTGATGGCGTCACTGTGCTGTGCCACTGGGCCAACAGCACTGGTGCCGCACCATTGTGATGGCAGGAGTTAGTGAGTGAGAAGTTGATAGGGTTGCGTCATGCAAGGAGGGTGCTGGGGGCCAGTTTGATGGGCCGGCAGTACAGAGGACGCGTTTGAGCGTGGGTCACATGATGATAGGGTGCGGGTGCATGGCAAACTGGTGTGGCGTGGGATTGGAATGTGGGGAGTGGCAGTGAGACAAGTGAGGTAACTCCAGTGACATGTGAAAGAAACACACAATGAAGTTCCTTGGGCGCAGCCACGGCGTGTCGTATGCCGATAGAGGTACAAATATGGATCTGCCCACCCCAGTGGGGCAGAGGCCGAGAGTTGCAAGTCTTGGGGATTTGTAAGAGCTTGTGATTTGCCCGCAAGTCGATCAAGTGCCGGTGATGGATATCGGAGGTGGCAATCCATGCGACATTTCTGGCTCCATGATGTAATATCATGGGTCGGTCTCTCAGGTCAGTTTGTGATATATGTGGTCATAACGGGTGCCACTCATGATGGGGCGTTATGGCGAAAATTGAGCAAATATCACAGATTGATTGTGGGTAAGTTGGAATGTGGGGAACGTCCAGAATTCTGCCGTGATGGGCGTGGAACCACCAAACGCTTTGGTAAGGAGATTGGATGGGGGATGCATGGTCGATGAATTACTAAAAGCGTTGAGTGGATCACCGGTCAAAGTGACATGGGCGTTGCTTTGATGTGTTTGACCGGTTTTCAATGGGTAATGGAATGATATGATCATCGGCGTCTGAGCCCTTATGTTTGGTTTCCACTTGCGTTTACTCTGAAAACCATGCTATCATTTTGTCGATGATGCTGAGCATGGTGCAACAGCACGCGAAGCAAGAATTTGTTTTGCATGTAATGTACTTAGTGAACCAGCAGGCTCCAGGCGCTCAGCAAGCTGTCTGCATCGCACACTAATTTCCTGCCTCTTTTCGAGAAGATGTGTTGCATTTTGATTCACATGCCTCGTCTCCCCTGGGAATTCACAGTGCGAAATCACATGGGAGGAAACAGACGCAGCAAAAATACAATGCACAAATCTACCTACTCCAAGAGTACGGATTCGCAGTAAGTGAAAATGGCAATGCGACGCTAGTGCAAATGCCGCCCAGTTTCAGCAATCTTGCCTTGCGAGGTACAAAGACATCACCATCTGTGCTAAAGCAACGTTCATGGATCGATCATGGGAAGTTTATGCATATGCGTCATCTCAATGTGGAATATTTCGCCATAGATGTTGTAGTTGAAACTCCAGGACATTAGTGCTCAAGAGAGTTGCGCTTGCCACCTATGCACACTTGTTGTGCACACAAGGAGAACGTGGTGCATGTCATGCCGAGGTAAAGCACTTTCAGTCTCGCCACATGGCTTCCTTTGGCACTCAGGAATGTGCAAATCCACGATATGGTACAAGCAACTTGTTCCACCTTGAGAGTCCCCATATAGACTCAGGGATGTTGTCAAGGCTCCTGCAATCCCGCATCAACATCACACTCAGCTGTTGCCTTGTCCCCACTTCACTTGGGAGGGATTGCAACATGTCACAATAGTCAAGTCTCAACAATCCAGCAGTCTTCAGAACTGAAACCTATGGAGGTAGTTTCAAAACGCCAAAGTACGCGCAAAGTCGAGAACCAACAATTGTGAGACAAGCAATGCTCCTGGCAGCTTAGGCAAATCAGCGGTCCTTATCATCAAACCCACAGGTTGGGCATCTCCAAATCTTGTAGACGCTCCTTTGGCCATCCGTATTGCTACAAGTGGTGGAACAACAGGCTAATTCGAGCACCTGATGCTGGCAAGCAGGCTCTAGCAGTTGCAAAAGTGCAACGCTCTACAAGTGACAATTTGGTCGCAGTCATGGAATTGCCACCCACTCTATCATGCATTCTGCACTAGATCAACCTTAGGGCACTGCCTTGAACCACATCATGGATGTGATAACAAATGCAACGGCATGGCTTGTACTCAGCACAGTTGTGCTTCTGAAAGTTAGGAATTTCTGATAGATCTTCACTAATGCAAATAATTAAGGACCCCTCCTCCAACTCATGGACAACTCTTCTTGCTCCCCGCTCATCACATGCACCGATGCTGCATTGCAAATGACTTACCATTCTTGAGTTCGCACTTGACTTTGCAATGCTGCCAGAAGATTGTGAAATGATGCCATTTGACATGGTTGATCATCAACCGTGTAAGACATGGTTGATCATCAACCGTGTCAGATGGCAAAATCCCACAGCCTTCGGGTAGCATTGCAAAGTCAAGTGCTGTAGCTTAACTTAGGTCCCCAAGATTTCCGGCACACATCTCTGGCCACCATGCAAACTCATTTCATGTGCTAGCAGTGTTTTACCACTTTTCTCCTTCCTCACAAATAGGGCCTAGCGTCTCCCCTTCCTTTCTACGACCTGCCCTCCCCTCCCATTACTCCCATTACTGCCAGCACCAATGGCAGGCCTCCACACTCCTTGGCAAGTCTTCCATACAGGTCGTTGCCAATGCAAAGGCCCCCCACCAACAAAGGCATAGTGGCAGAAAAACTTCATCGATTCTTCCTTTTTGAGTCCGGCCATGCGATGGCACTGCTTCATTGCTCCCAAACATGCTGCCACTTCTGCACTTTGCAAAGATATGAGGATCCAGCTGTTCTGTTGTGACACAACATTGAAATATTTAGCATGGTGCTGGTGCCACACATCATCAAGCACAAGAAGGAATGTATCATCTTGCAGCGCTGCTTGCAGTTGCAGCAGGGCATCTTCAGCACTCACAAACCTCACATGGGCAAAGTGTCCCTCAACGTCTTGCAGAATCCTCAATGGACGTGTGTGATTTCCAGATCTTGAGACACAGTCACAAACGCCAGTTTGGGAGAAACCTGTAATTGAACCCAGGTTCATTGGCAACCATTCGTGCCAAACTGGTCTTGCCACTTCCTCCTAGTCCCAGAAATTGCAACTTCTGTTCGCCGGGGGCCAACAACATGTTGCGAACAACTAAGGATTGACTGACAAGCCAACAACATTTGGTGCTATGGGGATGTGGACACCCTCAGACTTTTCAACACTATGCAGCAGTCGCCACAGTACTGCTCTCATGCACAATGCTGCTAATCTTGCTTTCGCAAGAAAATCAAAGATGGACATGGAACAAAAAAAGTTGCAGAGAGCATCAGGAAAATATCTTCTAATCGATGTTGGCAGCCCTCCTCACCTTTCGCTGCACAGTCTGCTACCACTTTGTGAACACGATCGGTTTGAATCATGCCCAGATCATCCTTGCATTGCCTCACCACCTTGAACACAGCCACAGGTCCACTCTTCCAAGTGGCGGTAGCATCCTTGCACTTCCTCATCGTCGATCTGTTGTTCAAAATCGTCGCGATTTCGAGCTACACATTCGATCACAGGAGGAGCCTTGCCAGATCCTGCATGCAGCACCCAGCTTTGTGCTGGTTTTTGGCGCCGATGTGACCTTTGCAACCTGGGCAGGCACAGACAGGGTGGGTTGGAATTGCTCATCATCGTCCTTTTGTCGCTGGACCACCTCCATGGCAAAGCCCAGCAGTGAGAGAGCTGCCCCAGCAATGAGCAAAGAGCCCCAAACCCTTGATAAGTGCTGCCTGCATCTGTCGCCCCAACAACAGCTTGGGCTGTTTCTACAATGGCCTTGGAAAGTTTGCCCAATGCCTCACCACCACATTCAATGCAGGAGAGTGCTGCCTGCCTCTCCAATAGGCCTATCCATGGCATCACCTGCCAGGTGAGGGTTGCAAGCCACACTGTGGCCATCCCCTTCGATTGAGCCTTGAACTCCTGTTGATCGTCCCCATGCACCACCACAATCGTCAGCTCCCCTTCTGTGTGGTGTTTTTTTGCCTCGCACCTCACCAACACGATGCGGCGCCTGTTGCGCTAGGCCCCGGTCGCCTTGGGACATTCTTGGCCGTCCTTTGCGTCGATCCACAACAGGCTCGCTCTCACGAGCGCGAGCACATCCTTGCACGTTCCCCTCCTTTTCGACTTCTTTTGCAGCTTTCCTGCATCGGGGGCCATCCGGTGGCCCATTGCGTTGTGGGTCAGCGGTCCGGGTCCCGTTGCCTGCGCCCCGATGGGCGCTGCGGCCATGTCGGTTGACAGTCTGTAGAATAGCGTCGATGGGAGCAGCTCAGCACAGCGGATGGCGGCACTGCCTGGGATCGAGCACAGCACTCCAGCCTAAAGGAAGGCCCAAACAAAAGGGCGGACGACACGCACGATCGCCTCGCGTGCCACCAGAGGATCTGGACACATCCGGCGAACAGCTAGGAAACGGCGATGCTGACGATCTCGCTACTCGCCTGCCCGATGTCGTTTTGAATCGCATCGGCGGCGTAATGCATCACAGTGAGAGCCCGTTGCCTTGTTGTGTGTAGTCGTCCGATGTTCCCCGCAAGGATTTTGCATAAATGGACGCGAAACCCCCCTTCCCGGCTACGTCGCCTGTGCGGCAAGCTGCGCCCCGATGTCTTCGGCCGCGAAGCCCGAACTCGCACGAACCCCACAGAAAACGCACAAGCAAAAGCATGCCGCCAACCCCGCCAAGCGTCTGACAGCAACCACCTGCGTGCCCATCCAGCTCACCTGCCTCTTGTCACATCACGCGCCGCCATGTCCAGCGGTTCTGGGGAGCAGCGGACAGCTCGCTCGTCGGCCTCCACCGGTTTCGCACACCCCCGGGGTTCCTACGGCCCGTCCCAGCGGGCCTCGAAGCGACACAGTGAAAAGGTCGGGGGCGTTGCCGAGGCAACGGCCGCCGGCGGTAGGTGTGGCTGCGGTGCCACAGCCCCGGGAGGCTGCTCTGTCGCTTGCGCGGATCACAACCCCATTAAATGGTACATCACCCGCTTTTAGGAGCCCTCTATTAGGGTTTAACTGTGCGTTGCTGCAAGGCTGGATGCCTCGCCGAAGTATATATAATAATCAACACCCTCGCCTGAGCAAGAACAGACTGCTAGATGTGGCGATTTTCTGAGTACCCCGCCTGAATCATGTACCTTAAAGATTGATTGCGATATGCTAACTGAATTATAGGAAAGTCTATGTATGTTGGGATGTGTTGTAGTTGATTGTGAAGGCTGTAGGTTGTGTCCTGCCCGTACGACGATGAAACGACAGTGTCGAGGATGCGTACTGCCCTGTGAAGAAACCCCATGAAGGTTAGTGTTGTGTTCACGACGCCGCATAATGACCACCATTTCACTGGGTGGATCACTTATGCTTGATGGCTTGCGACTAGTGTGCATGTCAAAACGTGAATCGCTGCTTGAGATTGAAAGAAAAAAAGACTGTGGTTGCAGAAAAATGGTGCTATGAAACTTGCAAAGGTTACTCCCACCAAGATGTTACTTTCCTTGGAGGGGCACGCAGGATGTCTCTTTCCCTGGTGCAACATTGAGCTTCTAGCCTATGCATACTCCTTTGCTTGAAGATTGGCGCATGTTTTATGAAAAGTCGGATTAGCCATTTCTGTGAGTGAATTCTGGTTTTGAATTTGGTTCTTGAGGTAGTTTTCGATCACACTCATGTTTGTTGAGGACAGCATGAGCTTGATGAAAGAATGTTTTGCAATTCACATAGAGATGCCTTGGTCATAGTGTCTTGTCCGCAAGATGCAAGGGTGTGTTGTGGGGAAGTTTTGGATGTGTGTTTCCCGAAGCTTTACAACATTGTGACCGCCCTCTACTTTCACTTTGGCTTGCAAGATTTGTTGTACTTGCACTTTGCAGTGGGGGCGTTTGGAAATGACCATATGTGGCACCTGAGTAGTCAGAATTGTGTTGTTTTGAATTCTGAGTGAAAGGGAAGCTGTGGCATATTCCATACGTTGGCTGCACCTTAGTGATGAGGTGGCATGGGGTTGAATTGTCATATGGGCATTTGTGATTGATGACAATCCTTGGGAGTGAAAAGGGTGGATGAGTGGTTGCGAAAAACGGAATTCTGAGTGGGGGTCGTTGCCGGCGGTGGCGGCAAGACTCTGTTGTGGGAAGGGCGAACAAATATGTAAGCCCAAGGCTGCTCGTCTGTGAGTTTGGTCCAAGGATGGCCGCAGCGGACTCCAAGGGAGCGCTGCAATCACCAGCTTCCAAAGCGCACTCCAAAGGATGGCCTTGAATGGCCATACCTTCAACAGCTGCCAAACACCCTTGAACCGGAAGGCTGGATGACGAACGACAACCCCATGAGCCTATGATGGAGATTTGATGACGTGCCACCCTATACAGCCACTACCGGATGCCAGGAGGACGAGCTGACCCAATGGAGAGCGGACTCAACCTTGGATCTGAGGTGGGAAGTCTGGAGAGTATGTCACACCACGAGCTACGCCTCGGAAAGGAGAATCGGACCGGATACCTGGGGCAATTGACGAGTATAGTGAAGATCTGAGCAGCAACAGCGATTTCTGCGACTTAGGCAGGGTAAGGATACCATGGGTAAGGCAGCCGGTGAGTTAGGACGGGTAAGGATACTGTGGGAAAGGCAGCCGGTGAGTTAGGACGGGTAAGGATACTGTGGGAAAGGCAGCCGGTGAGTTAGGACGGGTAAGGATACCTTGGGGAACGCCACCATGGATTAGGCACCCTGGGTAACGCACCCCGCGGCTTTGGGAGGGTAAGGATACCCTGGGTAACGCGGGCTGGTACTTAGACTAGAGCAGACAGTGTGTTGAGGCGTGGGTGGCGCACCCTGGGGAAAAGGTACATTCGTGCCTTGTACGGATTTGAAGGGACCTTTCAAGGAACCTTGGTAACTGTGTCGCACCAGCGGCTTGGGTATTTAAAGACACACGGCTTCACTTGTAACAACAACTGCGAACCTTGGGCCCACCTCGTTGTTTTGTGTGTATCCTTTGGGGATTGTACCCCGTCGAGTGGAGAACATGCCGCACTGACAGACGCCCATTGTGGGTGCACCTCGCCATCGAGTTCAGCTCGATTGGGCGAGCGTCCATTTTCGTGCGTGACCGGTCCATTGCCATAAGATTTGCCATCTGGACGCCATTTCCACGGTGGTTCGAGGCTTGGTTTCGGAGCGCAGGGTGGTTTCCCGCAGAGGGACGCCGTTGGGTACTGTGCAGACGGTAAGGTAAAGCAAAGGTAAGTTAGGGCAGGGAGTATGGCGCGTAGGGGAAGTAATGTTCCCTTTGACGGTGGTGAAGCCCCGGTCTGGAGCGTGGAAGATGCGCTTGAATTGAGCGCGCCATCAAGCCATGAACGGCCCCCCCTGACGGTGATAAGGGGCAGCGATGATGCGTTGGTAGCGCGGGAAGGAAGTGGGGAGTATCGCCCTCCCACCGCGAATGGATCAGGGAGTTCCCTCCAATCCCCACCGTGAAGGCGACCGGGGGCCTACCGGCGCTTAATGGAGGAACGCGAACAGGAAGAGCGCGCGCGTGCTGCACTTCTTGAACGACCCCATGCTCGTTCGGCCGAAGGGCGGATGGACCCGTCGCCTTCCGGCCCATTCAATGTGCAGGGGACACGGGAAAACGATGAGAATGAGGACCCTCGCTATGCCAAGCGGGGACATGCTAGTTGCCTGGGGCATGATGGTGTTCGGAGAGCCCGGGGAGAGATGGCCCCCCTAATGGGCCCCCAGGCTAGGCACCGATCTCCCCGGCCTAAATAGCCAGAGGAGGCTATCCCACATCCTATAAGGGAAAAGGGACGCCGCCATTGCTCTCAAGCGGGGCGGCAAGCTGGAAGTCGGCGACGCACTAAACACGACTGCTCGCCTAGTAACGGACCTAGTAGCGGGTTAGAAAGCGACTCACACAAGTGGCACTCCCGTCATCAAACAGGACGTTCGCGCAAGGTGTCAGACAATCGTACACCTCAGCAACACACTTCGCCACGTAGGCACAATGGTATGAATGCATCCCCTAAATGGGGTAAAGAGAAGGGGCAGACTTGATCCCCAAGGAACAGGGGTCGTAGCCCACGACGGCCGGATGGTCGGTCGCGCAACAAGTCCAGGGGGTTGAGGTCCCCCCATCGGTAGGCGTCCCCACGCCGGGAACGTGAACGAGGCCGACGCTGAAGGAGGGAATCTTCCTCATCCTCGGAAGGAAGTTCCCAACGGTCGACCTCACAAGGTAGTTCTACTGGAATGGAGGATAGTAGTGCCAGTGAAGGGGAGGATCATAAGCCCCAGCGACGTGGCCACCGCCACTGAGATTATGGTTGAGATAAGGATTACCGAGCACCCTGGCTCAGCAAGTTTGACGGGCTGGCCCGTTCGGAGGCTGCCGGATGGCTTAGCCAGCTTGTCTGAGCCACCGATACCCAGCAATAGCCCCACGACACCCGTGTGAACTATGCAATAGCCCATTTAGTAGGGCATGTGGGCCTTTGGGCGGAAGAGCTCCTTGCCAAATATGCAGAACCCCGAGAGGGTAAGGCGGGTGCATCCGAACTCATGGTAACACACCACCGGTTGACTTGGACGAAGTTTCTGGCCAAGTTCCGAAAAAGATTCCTGGGGAGTGCCCGCGAAATGCTTTGGCAGTTCAGGGAGCAGAGGATGCGGAAGGATGAACGGGTATAAGATTATGCTGATGCGCTCTTTGCCCTTCGGCGACGAATTCGCCAAAGTACCAAGCATTCTGTATCCAATGCTGAATATATAGATGTATATCTGGACGGGCTACCCCAGAACATTTCGGAATTCGTGGGGTCCCACATCGATGACGATGCTTCCCTGTCCGACATGGTGGAACATAGTATCCACTGGGAAGATTGGCTACGTCG